TGGGCCACATATGCCCCCGAGTATAAAACAATTTTTATCTCAATCATGTGAGGTAAAGAGGCTGAGCCAATTGCCAGTTCCTTCAAGATTGTTTATGCCATGTTATCCCACTCAGCCAACTCGATAAGATGATGTATATTAATCCAGTAGTTGTCCCTAATTACACAATTACTGGTGACTTATGCATATTGGATGTCCGGTAATGGCATGGACGGGCATGTCTATGGTGACACGAGGGGACACGTACTTAAAGCATTATCAACACTTTCTTCCAGAGTTCTACTCGCCGAACTGTCGGCATGCAAGAAAATTTCAAACCATCCAACTGATTTGTTCCTAAATTAATAACCCGCACAAGGAAATATGAATATATATAATAAGTTTGCGCCATTTTTGGAATAAATATACATAGAATAGCTTGTCAGATACAAGCCAAAATTCAGATTGCATTGATGATGTCCTCTACATGTTTCAGCTTTGAGTAGTCCATGGAACAATTTCATGTATCTAGAGTTTAAGTTTTTCAGTTATTTCCTAAAATGACAGCTTACTGTGGGTAGAAATCTCGATGTCGGACAAAAGTACACATCCACATAAATGAAACAAAGCAAGAAATGGTATTCAATGGTGATATATTTGATTCGGGTATCATTGTTGTGATTTGGACCTTACGTTTGCAGTTTCTGGCGACTGTTTTCAGCCTAGTAACGGTTTGATAACGTTTGTACTTTCTGGGTCAAATCCAATTTTCAAGTGTATATTATCTTTTGCCCGGCAGTTTAGTGTATCGCTAATGCCGTATCTATGAAAACAAGAGGGCGCCTAAAACGGAACCTTGTCTACCTCTTGATATGTGGATGTGGATGTGGATGTGGATGTGGATGTGGATGTGGAAGTGGATGTGGATGTGGAAGTGGATGTGGATGTGGAAGTGGATGTGGAAGTGGATGTGGAAGTGGATTTGGATGTGGAAGTGGAAGTGGATGTGGATGTGGATGTGGATGTGGATGTGGATGTGGAAGTGGATGTGGAAGTGGATTTGGATGTGGAAGTGGAAGTGGATGTGGATGTGGATGTGGATGTGGAAGTGGATTTGGATGTGGATGTGGAAGTGGATTTGGATGTGGAAGTGGAAGTGGATGTGGATGTGGATGTGGATGTGGAAGTGGATGAAAACAAGACGGCTCCTAAAACGGAACCTTGTCTACCTCTTGATATGTGGAAGTGGATATGGAAGTGGATGTGGTTGTGGATGTGGATGTGGATGTGGATGTGGAAGTGGATGTGGATGTGGTAGTGGATCTGGAAGTGGATCTGGAAGTGGATGACCAACTGAGAATACACTATCTTTTTTGCACAGTACTGCTAGATAAGTCATCACTCAAGGAGCAAAATCTATTTCGGTTGGAGGCTAATCATTACTACTTTGTATACACGAGCTTATTAGACATGTCGACCAATTCTTCAAGACTGAGAAACATTCACCTTTGCTGTGTTTTGTGTCTGTCACCGACAAAAGGTGGACTCCCGTTTGATGCATTGTGATGTTCACACTATGACTTGCTTCCAGGCTGATTGTCTCGCGCTCTGTTCTCTAAGCGTCTTATCCAGATCTTCTATTGGGTGCTAATGGTATCACAAAAGGTGTTTTCCCTTTAAGCTAAATGCCCTCTTAGACAGAATGTGAGCTCCTTTGCTGCCATATTGTGATTGATTGAAAGGTTAGAAGAAGCTATCTTGTATCTAATGAGCACTGAAGCTGTTTTGATTTTCCGCTATCAAAGGGGACGCTTCAAAGTGAGGCTTACAGAGTTTTATTTTAAGAATTAAATTTAGAAGACGCGAGCTACTTCGAGACTGCATGTTTCTCTTTATTTAACACAAAGCTTATTAGATGACGTTTGATATAATATCACGCCCAGAGCCACAGCACGATCTCAGCGTCTCGACTCTCGTAAGTCAATGTTAAAGTATGGAAGGTGCCATCGTCTTATTTCTAGGAGCCTGTGTGGAATGACACCCGTGGCAGTAAAGGTATTTAGTACCTTGTCATCACCTTAAAGCCTTTATCTCATTAACGTAAACATCTGAAGTAGGGAAGCAGAATATTTGCATCAAATGTCAACATGTGCACTTTTCTATTTTGGGAGTACAATATGTTGGCGAGGAGATATAATATTCCTAGGATGAGAAAGGGGACATATGCTATTCCAAAGATGAGAAAGATATGATATTAGCGAGGTTAAACTTAACTTATTAATTCCAACTCCTTTAATCAAATGAGTTAGGGCTGTCCTTACTGATACTACATCTTCTAAAACGACACTTAAAGGTATTATGCTATTAGTACTCACTGGCCCATAAGAGAATCTCGAACGGTTTGTCTATATAATGTATCCTTTAGTTTCAATAGCTGATATATTATATTCTATATCACAAAGTACTTATCCCTCTATATAGTATGGTACGAAGTATATTGTTTAACACCGAAAACTGTGTCAGTGAGTATGGTTTTACGCCGCTTTTAGCAATATTCCAGCAATATCATGGCGGGGGACACCAGAAATGGGCTTCACACATTGTACCCATGTCGGGAATCGAACCCGGGTCTTCGGCGTGACGAGCGAACGCTTTAACCACTAGGCAACCCGACCGCCCCTTACCATCCGGGGATATGACAGTGGCCGGTAAGCACTAACAAAGGGGAGACATAACAAGAACGACATATCTCGAAGATTTTCACTCTCGATATCTCTCATTCTCTGGATCTGTGTATAGAGGTGTATGAAAATTATTGCCCGCCGTCCGAGACAACCAAAAAATGTCAGTCAGGCAGCTAAGTTTGGCTGACAAAATTTTCGATTTTGTCTTACATAGTCAGCATATTTTTTAGATAACTGAATGCCAGTTGACGTAAGCATGAAAACATGTACTATGATAACAAGAATGGATTTTGTCTCGACTTTCTGAGTATTCTTGACCTGTATTTACAATTCCAAAACGAAATAGTTATACCATCTGAATAAACATATAGACTAGTAAATGAAACGTTTTTAAGGCGCTTACATAGAAGTTAGTAGACATCTAATTAATGCATATGATAACGACGATTTTACATGGTAATCTTCAATGAAGAAAAAGAATAGTTTATTTCTTCCAGGTTGGAGTTTTAGGAAATGAATCGATCGATCTTGGCAACAGGAGTGATGCATTGAATGTAGCAGCTTCCTGTTTTTATGTTTCAGCGTGTATATGCACTAGTATTCATGGCCCAAGAACACAGGGCACTATCATCATTTTGTATTGTGGTAGTTATCCACAAGTGTTCATTCGGGTTCTGATTGAAATTGTCCTCATCGTTAACCACAAGATGTGTACTGCAAACATATATATGCTACTGGTAAATATTAAGGACGACTCGATTCTTTCATATTACTATAGTTAACCTGTCATGGCATGATAGGTTAACTATTAATAGTAAATTGAAAGAATCGGTGGTCCTTAACCCTTTTTGAGTAGTATAGGCACGAGAATATAATCCAAGAAACAATGCAACGTGTTTTTATAGAGACAAATATAACCAACAGTTTTGAATGACAGTCCATCATACAAAATTATTAATCATATTAGGAAATATGGTATTACTACGTTATAAATGTGTAAATAAAAGAGACAAAACCCTTTTCATAATCATAAATATAAAACGTCAACGACAGAGAATAACAAGTGTTGATCATCTTCCAAAAACAGATAATACTGGGCTTAAAAGGCATAGCGATGAAAATACTGTGAACAGATCACTGAAAATCAGTGATGACACAGGTGTTCGCGAAAAGGGTAAGCATGTCGTCGTCCTGCTCTACCGGTAGCACCCGTCACTCACACAATTTGCATTAAAATAGCACGACTCTCCCCATGAAGTCTCTGCTTAAAGCACAGTCCATTGTACGATTCCGACTTCATAAGCATGTGTTTATGAATCTCATGAAAAGAATCTATTGATCTAGAAAGTAACGACATCAGATTATGTACTTGGATTCTTCGATTCCATATTCACTGTAATGCTATACGTAAAATAGTGATATATACTACGTTAAAGGCAGTGATATATGCCATGATATATATCAGCCTCAATGTGTTGACAAACATGCACGTGGTCACGTTATATATTTTATCGATGCAGTGATATATGGTATGCATGATGCAGTGATGTATACTCTTTCTTTGGTTATATGCCACAAAGTGTTCGGAAACATCATATGTTTAATAATCTGATGTGAGGGGGCTTCTTAAAAATATATAACGTCAACGCCAAAGAACAACCAGTCTTGATCATCTACCAACCAGATGACATTGGGCTTAAAAGGCAACGTAGCGATGAAAATGCTCTGAACAGATCACTGAATCTCAGTGATGACACAAGGTGTTTGAGAAAAGGACACGCATGTCCTGCTCTACCGGCATTACGAGCCACCCACACAACTTGCTACCTAATTTTCTCTGTTCTAACATTAGAATATTGCATTTCTGATTTTACCCATGTCATGTCATGTAAAGGAACTGATGGCCAGGTCATGTCTATTTATTATACAATACACCGATACGTTTTTATAACACCATGTTAAACTGTGTATCGGTTGACGAAAATCTGCCAAATATTTCAGTACCATGGGACCAGGCTATAGGCGCAGAAACACCCCAACACTGTTATTGTGTATATTTTCAGGATATTTGCAAAACCATTTAAAAGACAAACAATATATACATGGCGAACATAACGACTGTGGTTTGAAATTTCATCGGTACAAATTAGTTTAATTCATCACGCTGTATACATACATAAGGACAATCAATAATTGCCGATGTACCTGCCGCTCAACGTCATTTATAATTCATTTGCATTAATGACAAACCGAGTTTCGTATTATCTATACTTCCACATTTAATGGTTAGTAATATGAACGACACAATGGTCAAAGAAGTGACGTGGGTAAACTTACCAGAATAGCCAGACTGTGACAGACTGTAATTCCTGCTTCGACAGTTACTGCTGGCCTGCCACCTCCATATCGATCTGTTGCGTGTAATACACGTGAGTTCTTTGTATATAAAAGTGTGGTATATCTCCCATTGATTACAAAACGGTATCACAGTCTGTGACACTTGCTGTGATGATCCTTAACAGTACTCGTCCTCGGCTGAGACAGAAGTCCTAAGTGACAATCTTTTCCGACTATATATTGAGTCTTGAAAAAAAGATCGGTTATTTAAAATGAGTCGCGATTGTTTTCGAAAACAAATTGGTTGATTCCTGTCCGGTTGTGTGTGTCAGTGTAAACTTTCTCAGTGTCCCGCCTCTATCTGATGGTACCCTCTGAGAGATCCACCCTCAGATGAGACTCCTCCTGCGAATGTGTCGCTCTAATCCACACGAACCTTAATAGGTTCCTCTTTAAAGCGATTCTGTTCTATGAATAATTCCACTGCTTGTCTTCCTGTCGATGGAGAGTCCGGGAACACTTCATTAGGCACGGGCTATGTTGTCATCGGTCTGCACGACGTCGTGCTGCCCAGGTCGGCGGGGCAAGCTGTGGACGTGGACGGTCCTCTACACTCTTCACGCCAAGGAACAGATTGTTTTATTGATAAACCCCTGCCTTACGACAGACATAATTATCCTCTCGCTTTGATAGCGACGAGCTGAGAATCGAATCAAAGCTTTCATTGAGCCTGTGGTTTGATTGATCAGTTGGGCTGACTTGGAGGTGAGAGAAAGCGCGCCAAATCGCACACGTCGAGCAGACGACTTGAAATGCTTTATGTGGAATACTGTCATATTTCATCTGTTGTTGGGGGAGTTAGACCCATAATTCATAGAAAGCAGCGGATCGGAAGCAATTTATCCCTGATGATGAGATTGAAGATTAAATCAGGCAGGTAGCAATGACGATGTTTGTGAGATTAGCAGGCGGTGGGACAGGCACGAGGACAGGGGGCAGAAGAGAAGGGCGAGGGTGGGTGAGGGGTTCACCTGGCTGCCAATAGCCATTAAGACATGCCGAGCGTAAACATGGCTTAGTGTATGCGCAATCTAGGCATGGGAAGGGGTGGCAATTAGTCCTGATTACTAGTTATGCGTAAAATTCCCTCATAATATCTGCTCATGAAGTTCAGTATTACTTATGTTATATAAATTACACATATAGATTTTCCATTTTTGTCTCGTAATATAATTATCGCCAAACTCTACCAAAGTTGATATTTGACGTTGTTACTTTGAGTGCATCATTTAGATGAAGGAATAGATATGGATTCTTTTACAACTCCGATTCCAACGAACGACAAGGGACCTTCCAAGTGTGTGGGTTTCTTTATTCACAGTTTAAAAACCTAGTGGTTTAAGCGCTCGCTCGCCACACCAAAGGCTTGGGTTCGATTCCTCACATGGGACACAATTCGTACAAACATGTCCTGTTCGTTGTGATATTGGTGAAAACGGCGTAAAACCCAATCTTACGCTATATATAGATATAGTTTACGTTTATACGTATGATCTCGCCTCATCGGATATAGTATTTACGTTTAGTTATCAGAATGTCCAAATCTGGTTACAGCAACGCTGAGCAATTGGCTTGTCTTTGCATGTGTTTGTAACGGATGCCACCGGTGGGGCAGGATACACTGACCTTTTTCTCGACCATTTTGAATCATCACTATTTGATAGTGATTCATGTGCTCATGATATAGTCAGAATCATACAATGGACTCTGCTTTTAACAGAGATTTCTAATGAATATGGAAAAGGTCACTTATAATTTACCATAGTTCTTCTCAGGTAAAAGGGCAGAACGGTTTTGACAGATGGGGTGATATAAGTGTCTGTATGTTTAACAGTACACAAGTTACAGATTGTCACATCGCAAAAATGGGGCAAGGATGGGTGATGGTGAAATGAGTTTAAGGTCGCACTGAAGGTTATTGGAGTTATATAGCCACGTGCATGTGACGTGCCCACCAGATACCATGCCTCAGGTTAACACGGATACCACACTCAGTTACATCAAATTGACTCCGAACGTATGAGACACTACAACTCGAGTCTTCCTTATGACAAGCGAGTCTATATCTACTTGGCTATTCCACAGCCCATTACCCCCAGTCAAAGGCCTCGGTCACCTTGTTTAGCATTCACACCATGATGTTAAATGTATTCACATCATGGTGTTAAATGTATTTACATCATTATGTTAACTTTATTCACACCATGATGATAAATGTATTCACACCATGGTGTTAAATCTATTCATACCATGATGTTGAATGTATTCACACCATGATGTTAAATGTATTCACACCACGATGTTAAATGTATTCACATCATGATGTTAACTTTATTCACACCACGATGTTAAATGTATTCACACCGTGGTTTTAAATTATTCACACCATGATGTTAAATGTATTCACACCATGATGTTTAATGTATTCACGTCATGATGTTAACTCTATTCACACCATGGTGTTAAATCTATTTACACCATGATGTTAAATGTATCCCACAGGATACATGTAAAATTGTTATGAGTTTGATCAAAATAAAGCCAGTCGATTCAGTCAGTACATCATCCTGTTATTGATTTCACAGTTTAAATGTTCATGAAATAGAATATGTTGCTATTTAAAAAACATTTAAATATGTCATGATAGTGTCGCATACGTAGAACGTAGAACTCAAAACCCTACCTGTGCAAATATGGTACGAATCTACGAACGCCAATTTGATTAATTATGTATTAATTGCGGATAAATGACCACAGAAATATCGAAACTGATCGATTTAAGGATTTAAATATCGTGCGAGACAGTAGTGTAGATTGCACTATATGCTTGTCTCTCAGTACACCAAATTCTTTGCATAACGGCGATTTCATCATATTGTGTAATATGGCTAGTATGTTCGCAACTACAATGCATAGATGAACACTGGTTTAAAGTTTAAGCATATTTTCATTTCGGACACTGAATCAGTATTGTTGATGTATATCTATTTGAAATAACGCCACATAAAGCTCCATAAACAAAGAGACCAGAATCTTTGTATGTATCAATGACCCTACACTAAGACATTAACAAATCGCCATGACCTGAACACACGATGTTCTTCGCGAACACCTGGTGTCATCACTATTTGAAAGTGATTCATTAACACATGTTCATGAAAATCTTTGCATGTGTCACTGACCCTACACAAAGACATTAACAAATCGCCATGATCTGAACACACGGTGTGTTTCGCGAACACCTGGTGTCATCACCATTTGAAAGTGATTCATTAACACATGTTCATGATATAGTCGGGATCGGACAATCGACTCTGCTTTAAGACGATCTTTCTTAGGAATATAGAAAGGTATGGACCCGAGGCTTTTATTTACCACCAACTACACAACAGAATACTTTGTCATATTCGGGTTATCAATGAAGATAAATGAATTGATTCAAATGCATTGAATTTAAGTGAAATTCGCCGAAATATACCACTTTCATTGATCACATGGTAACTGAACCTGTTTTGTATTGATACACTGATGTTAAGCGAGGATGCTGGGGTACCTTTCTGGTAAAAGCGTTGATTAGCCACCAAAACACCTGGTTAGATTCCCAACATAGGTATATGTACATGTGAAGCCAAAGTTTATATCCTATACATGCTATAATAATGCTAATAACGGCGTAAAACACGACTCACTCACTGAAGGAAAAATATCGTAAACAAATAATCAGAAGAGAAAATCATGTTAAATGACACGAATATAGTTAAAGGTGTGTTTTCCTTTGCTGTCCATTGACGTCGTTATCCTCATAGAACAGTACATTGATTCGGCCGTGTAGTACTTATGACCCTCACAATTATTCACCAGCACATACGTGGGTCATATTGATCCCATACGCCTATCATTATTTCAAGTCCTCCTTGTCAATAACCAATAAGTGCAACCTCATCAAGTCTAATTGACCCAGATTTGTTTTACTACTACTGGCTACTTTTGACTATGTCCAAAATTCTTACAGTTGTCAGCGCCTTGGAATATACAATATTAAACAAAAGGAAATATGCACTCATCTCGTTCGCGATCGAAGGGACGTTTGTTTTTACTAGTATACTCAACAACAAAAGTTCCTGTGACATCAATATTTTCAGTGTATTTTTCAAACAAGTAAAGTTTGGTTTTCAATATTGTATTACATGTATGGAATCAAGTCACAAAAACGCAACTGCTACAGACAACAACCACTCAGAAGACAAAATTACCAATTATTCAACATTACGAAATGCCACGTCTGCGAGCCATTGGTATGCTTGAAGGAGGATCGAGTCAACGTGATGTTGTAAGACAATTTAACGTCCACAGAAACACCATTTGGTATTTATGACAACGTTGGCAACAGACGAATGCAGTCAGAGACCATCCTCGGAGTGGCAGGCTACGCGTAACCAATAATCGACAAGACAACTGGATTCGAACAATACACCTACGAAATCGATTCCAACAGTGACTACAAGAAGCATCCCTGGCCTTCGACGAATATCTTCACAAACCGTACGTCGTCGCCTCAGATGTGCAGGGATTGTCGACAGAAGACCCGCCAGACGTCCCATTTTGACAGGAAACCACCGTCAAGCACGTCTAAAGTGGTGCAGACAACGTCTCCGTTGGACGGCCATGCAGTGGGGACAAGTTCTATTCACTGTTCACCTCAGCCACAGCGATGGACGGATTCGAGTTTACCGACGTCGAGGTGAACGTTACGTCAATCGTTGTGTCATGGAAGAAGATCGGTTCGGGGGCGGCAGCGTTATTTTATGGGGGGGGGATTACATAGTATACATGCCCAAACCCTTAACATAAGTAAGCGTGTGTTTCGCGAATTTTCGTCATTTTGGGGGTCTTATTTTGATAAGTATTGTAAATGTAGGAGATACGCATATTGTGTTTTCAATTGAGATGTTTCGAACGTAAATTTGATACCTGTAAATCCAATTCGACGTCGACTGCATTTATGTGCCATCTTCTGGAGGTAAGCATATGTGTTTGCAATTTATATGTCTCGAACGTAAATGCGTTAAGAATAAATCCCATTGACACTGACCCCATTAGCGTGCGATATTAGGACATAAGCATACTGTGTTTTCAATTTCGATGTTTCGAACGACGTAGATTTGATACCTTTATATCCCATTTGACACCGATTGCATTTGCGTGCGATATTTAGGAGATAAGGATAATTTTTATTGTGTTTTCAATTTATGTTTATGACGTAGATTTGATACCAGTAAATTGCATTCGGCACCGACTGCATTAGAGTGATGTTTCCTTTACAGTTGGTTAAATACATTACGATCGGTTTTATCCGCATCTGTTTCATGTACACAAACTATAATTTACACCTTGGTGCTTCAGTAGTTAGTGAGTTGGTGAGTATTTCAGCAATATCACGGGGGCGGACACCAGAAAAATTTACCCCGGGTCTTCTGCGTGATTAGCCAACGCTTTAAACACTAGGCTACCCCACCGCCCCTGGTGCTTCAATAACACCCAGAGAGAATATCACCATCTAATGCAGACGCCATTTCAGCAGTATTAAAACGGTATTATCCCAGATAAACTGAAGCAACGTTTTGTTCTAAAGAAAAGAGGATGACCACTGTTATGTTCTGGCGCGACAGACATGGTGTCATAGTACGTGCCAGGGTAGTGTTAAATGCCATGCTGTGTTGGTACTACTGGATTAAACCATATATTTAACCATAGATTATTTTCTCCGTTGTTGTAGAGGCCTTTGATGGTACCATTTAGTTAACATACTTAAAGTGAGTGAGTGAGTGACTATGGTTTTACGCCGTTTTTAGCAATATTCCAGCAATATCGCGGCGGGGGAAATCCCAGAAATGGGGTTCACACATTGTACCCGTGTTGGGAATCGAACCCGGGTCTTCGGCGTGACGTGCGAACGCTTTAACCACTAGGCTACCCGACCACCCCTACGATGTAAAGTACAGTATGAGCGACAATTGCGTCCTCCCAAAGTAATTTTATAAACTCATTATGTCATTATTTCTGACTGTTGTTAACACATTATTTAAATGTCATTTTATCACTATTATACATGAATACGTATATGCAATAACTGTCAGTGCAGTGTATTTTGAGAAGACTAGGCTCGGGAATATCGGCAGTCCTAGCAAATTTGATGGAGTTATTTTCAAACATCACATCGGTTATCCGTTTACTCCAACTTTATTATGTATATCAGAACAGTTCACAATTACGTGAATTACCAAGAGACGGTTACCAAGAGACGGTGTCTATGGTTCCAACATGGTCCTCATAGCAATGGCTTGACATAGCCTGAACACAGACCCCCTTTAAGACACATTTTAATGTCTTAATGTCAGGAGGTCAAGCACTGTAAAACAGGTATTGGGTCCAGAAAAGTAAAGTAGCCGCCCCCCCCCCCCCCCCCCCCCACACACACACAGGTCAGCCACCCGTGAAGATCGCAGCCCATGCTTGCCGTAGAAAGTGACTAAGCTTGTCGTTAGCGGTGACTAACGGGGTCGGGTGGTCAGGCTAGCTGACTTGGTTGATGCATGTCATCGTATCCAAATTGCATAGATCGATGCTCATGATGTCAATCACTGGATTGTCTGGTCCAGAATTTATTATTTACAGACCGCCGTCATATAGCTGGGATATTGCTGAGTGCGACGTTAAACAACAAACAAACAAATCATGTAATTTCCACAGTTATTTGACCTTCACGGTCAGAAAATCAAGACTTGTTATTCTCTTGCATTGACAATTTATATTTACACATTCCTAAAACTGCATCAGTTAAGCATCGACTTGATGCATATTTTGTCTATTCTCATGATCGCAATGGCGCATTAATACGTACATAACAACGACCATGAGTGACACTTACACCGCAAAACAGTTTCAGCCATATCTGTTGATTATCAAGGCGATATTGATAAGGCAAACTTAACAAGATCCAAGAAGATGTATTAAACGCTCTAAAACCATAAAGTTTCAACGCTTCAAGTAGGTGAATTCAGTCGAAGCACTTATCAATGAAATTCAAATCAGGAAGTAGTCTGACCTTAGGTTATCACCATGAAGCAATGACCTGGAATTCGATCTGACATATATGTTTGATACCAGATAATCTCAACTGGGTTTCTCACCTACAGGTGTAAATACATAAGTTGTCTTGATTATCCGCTGAAACAGATTCCATTCGGCGTAAAAGGCAAGAAAGCCATGAAATGTATATGAATGGATCACTGATAATCAGTGATGACACCAGGTGTTCGCGAAAAATGAATGTAAGTCCTGCACGACCTGTAGCACCCAGCCCTCACCAATTGGCAAATGAATTAGTGTTTCTTTATTGCCAGACGCCGCACAGCAGTACTCGATTCTTCCATGGGACAGCGTCACGTAAACAAACTAGAAACGCAGACGATAACGCATTAACTGATTTTGTTGTAACTAAAAACGATGTGCCAATTATATAAGATAACATAATGTTGAACGTCTGCTGTGTACAAGTGAAGATATGTGGCTTATAAGTAAGGAAAAGTAAGTAATAGTAAGTTTTGAAGCACTGTGTGTGTGTGTGTGGGGGGGGGGGGGGGGGGGGTAGTTGGGGTTGGGTACTGGGGTGTGGATGAATGTAGAGGCCAGACGAGGAAGACAATTTGACACATATAACACAAGATAAGATAAGATTGTATGTATTTGCAACACGGGTTTCATTGGCCAAAGTTACTTCCTAGATTCAGCGGGAGAAAACACGTTGCGCACAGTCTACGAGATTGCACAAGCAGTACATGACTACAGTCATTGTCCCTCGTATACAGGTAAGCAGCTCTAGAATAGCCGAGCAAGAGATACGTCTTCTCCGGAGACATAAGGATTTCGACTTCTGTATACTTTTGACACAATCTTCCGATGCTTCTACCCCTGTGTCTCTCTGTACCCAATTTCTAAATGTCTTTGATCAAAGGTCAAAGATCATTGGGGGCGGTCGGGTAGCCTAGTGGATAAAGCGTTCGCTCGTCACGCCGAAGACCCGGGTTCGATTCCCGACATGGGTACAATGTGTGAAGCCCATTTCTGGTGTCCCCCGCCGTGATATTGCTGGAATATTGCTAAAAACGGCGTAAAACCATACTCACTCACTCACTCACTCACTCAAAGATCATTGACCCACAGTTCAGTTCCACGAACATTGGCTGATACCATGTTCTTTTGTTTACAGGAGGACAAGCAAAGACACCAAAAATCAAGTGTTCAAAGTCCTGATGTTTAACTTAAGGGAATAAGAGGGAAATCAGAACTAAGGATACAAGAACTAAGAAATTTAGGATTGTGGAACTCAACACCGTATAGGAACCAAACATGTAAAAATGTAACGACAATGCCACAGAGCAACCTGATCGTCCGCCGAAACAGTCTCAACTGAAATTAAAGGCAAAATAGGGCTGAAAACTATATGAAGACCACTGAAAATCAGTGACGACACCAGGTGCTCGTGACAATGGCTTACGTGAACCTGAATCTTGCCTCGTTTCGCCAGTGTGCCCTACATAAGAAAGGTGAGCTTCTGTATTGTGAAACATGTATCTGTTCACTCTGTTCCGCGTGTCACACTGAACAACACATGGGCTGTATCAGCGTTGTTTTACTATCAGCCATGGCGCCCCGTCTTAAAGTCATGCTGGAAGGATGTAGGGAGCAACTGCGATCTGAGGACAGACTTATAGCGGAGAAGTTATCAAACAAGAAGAACATGCTTCATGGTTTAACTTCAAGGATAGATCAGTCTGAGCAGGATGCCACACAATATCACCACTCAATTGGTGACATTGACAAAATAGCGAGTGTTTTGGAACTATTGAACGAAGTGAGGAATAGAGAATGTGGGCGGCTGATTAGAAGTATTGACTCAGAAAAAATATACCAGGCGAGGAATGAAGAGCTAATGCTGCTAATTGAAACAAAGGGTTTCAAATCTGGCGATATACATGACAAATGTGAAGCTTACAAAACCTTTAAACAAAGTCGACTTAGCGATTTGTACCTAACACCCCCTGTCTTCTGTCAAGTTGTGGATGTCGAGTTTTGTCCTCAACGATCTCGGTACCCGGAAATGGATCTTGGCGATGCTGACAGTGTTTTCCTTACCTACGAGGAGAGGCAGAGCCCGGGACTACAACCAGGAACCATTTTGCTAGATATAATTGATACTAAAATAGCAGGGGATTCTCGTGTCCCCTTTATACATGGTATCGTTGCGCTGAAAATCAAAGACATGAACGTGGTTGTTGTGTCTGACTACGCCAACAGAAGACTGAAATCCTTCTTCTCGATTGGAACACTTGTGTACGATTCCATGCGGCTTGATAGTCCGCCATGGAATGTCACTGTACTCCACGATTTGATAATCGCTGTAGCTGTTCCTGATGAGAAAGCTATCCATGTGATCAGTGTTACCCCACATCTGAAACGGAAAAAGACAATTTCTGTGTCAAAGAAATATCATGGTTTAGCCAGTCTTGGTTCCGAGCAACTTGTGGCTGGAGCGGAAGGATGCGTTGATATCATTAACACTTCAGGTGAAATATTGCTAACTGTACAAAACTGTGAAACGACGTTGTTGAAGTACCCGTTTTTTCTCAGTACCATTGAACATCACACTATTATTGTCTCTGACTGCGGAACGAAAACCTTGACCTTCCTCACACAAGAAGGGTGCGTGAAAGCTCAGAAGACCACAGTTAGTGGGAGACGGTTCCATCAGCCAGTCGGTGTCAGCAGCAACAACAACGGCGACGTCGTTGTCGTGGACAGGAACGCTAACTTGGTACTGATGCTAGACAGCAATGGTGACTTCGTAGCAGACATCCTGTCATCATCTGTCAAGCGGATAAGGGCGGTGCACATCGACGGCCAAGATAGAGTTTATCTTACTCAGAAAGACCGTTGTGTACATGTTTTCCAACTCTTGAAAACAAGGCAATAATCTTTAGGAATGTGTATTGTGTGCTTTCGAAGCTCTTATACTTTAACGCAGACTTACGACAGTCGTGCGGCTGCGATCGCATTGTCAAACGGGCGTCAGTTAAACCTCATCTTCTTAGACCAGTAAGTATGGCCGGGGTTAGTAGTGTAGTACATCCCCGAATAGACTTACCATGAAAATAGAAAATAACAAAGGCGCTTTGAGAAAAACCGTTAGTCAAAATATTCTTCTGATGACCTAACGTCGATTAAACAATCGATGACGTCATTGACGACATTCTACTTTAACTCACCAATCAGCTTCGATAATTTCTGTGTAATAGCGAAAAGAAACTTTCTTTTTCAAAAGTAATCTCTACTAAAAGCAGAGTTGATTTTATGATTCCGACTGTATCAAACTAATGTACGAAATATTCGTATATGAAACATGAAACATCTTGACGCGTTTTATCCAAATGATCCTTGAAGAATCCTTCTTTTAATTCACCTTTCGATCACGAACGATCGCTTACACGGATGGGTCGATCTATGAGATGTGACGATGCCACTTGTAGTTTTAGAACATTGCAAAAAATTCTTGAGTCCACCCTGCTGTTTATCTTAGCGAACATGAGCAAACACCAGAAAGCAGTCATTAAACTTGCTCTTTTAACCCTTTTGGGTTACAGTTAAAGAACAACCAACGGCGAAGAGGAACTTTTTTCTCGAGATAATAAAGGATGCGTTTGGCGGAGGGCCTAGAACAATTCATTTCCGAGATACTCGTATACTCCGTAATTCCGAGACTCGAGTTGTTGTATTTATTATTCATTATAATTTTTAAAAATATAATGAAGAAAAATAAAGTGTATAAAATACAATACCTTTTGAAAGTAGTCAATCTATCGTACTGGTGCACGATGGACTTATCGAACAAGCTGTAACCCTCCATCACACCAAGTACGTGGCATGATAGATAGATAGATAAGATAGATAAGATATTTTATTTGCGTGTCACGCAGTATAAAATACGTACATTCAAAGTACAAGACAAAATATATAATATACCACCCGGCCGGTTGGCCTATGAGACACGAGAGATCAAAAATAGCTCAGTTTTATATAAAGAGATTATGCTAGTATCAAATACTATCAAACAAGTCAATTATTTTTCTATTTTGTATAAATTGAACGTCATTGCGTGTTAACATTTAAGGGTAATACCTCACAGTTTTCATCCAATTGCTAAACATATATCACGCCAAGTTTATATATTACTAGATACATAAACACACTGAGCTATTTACATCAGAGAGTACAGAAATTAATGCATAGCGACCAACGTTTAAATTAAATTTCATTCGAAAAATATAATGTCACCTTTAACCGTAACATCGGTTTACTCAAAATCTGACCTTAATTAAGTGGGTAATCTATAGATACAAAATCTTAAAACTTTAGCCAATGATCTGTAACATGTCAAACTGTGAACATTTTACAAATGAATATACATCGTTCATATGGATATTGTGACGCGGTGCTAATTAGCGTCATTTCTCATTCAATTTTCCCAGTCAATATCATATGTAATTGTACAGTTTGAAAGAGAATTGTATTCTCTACCTTCGTATGTATATGCTTTTATTGTCACTTTTCAACTTTTTATGTAATTCATGATTTTGGGTCACTGAACACATATTTTGCCCATGTGTATTCGCTGTTTATTGTCCCTACCAATTTCATTTGAATATTTATTGTTGTATATTTTATATCAGTGTATAGAACTTTTTATGACCTATACGCTCATAGTTCATATGTGTATATACTCATAATATAATTTTAGTTATATTACAAAAACCGTGTTCTAGAAAACACACTCTCATTAACAAGACAGGGTTGTTTAGCTTTAAGCCAACGTAATTAGGCTTATCTCCCATTGGTTAATCAATTAATTAAGTGGACAATTAGTGATGGTCAATTAGGGGCTCTTTATTTTAAAGGCCGACTCAAATCTTAAGTAAATCAGTAACGTCTCGGCGGACTCAGGTCACGCTGCTGGCTGCTCACTGCTGTGTTACTGCTGGACTGACCTAGGACTCCTTGACGGGATTTGGTGAGATCTTGAACTTTCTCTGAACTGTAAATGTTTGGATAACTTTGTCATACCCACATTTGCTTATTTTACCCCTTATTATACCCTTTTTGTAAGTTCGTAGACTATTCTGCTTGCTCTTACATTTTATTATAGGGTTATTTGTACTTGTAAGTTCATAGAACTAGCTATTTGTATCTTACAGTACTTTGGGAAGATATTTTGGGTAAAATCCTTATTTACGCTTAAAGCGTTGTAGTTCTTTTAAATCCACCTATTATCCCTTAGAGGTAATTATCCCGTCCTTTTGAGTCCCAGCAAATTGGTCCAATTAAGAGCTTATGTTAATTGGTCACAGCTCAATGTCTCAAGGTGTGAATTCCTGTCAGACGTAGACGTTAGCATATCCATTGTCTCGTCTAGCGTCCGGTGAGATTGATTAGCACAGCCTATTTAGTTGTGAGTTTGTCAACTCCATCTTTATCTATCGGGTCCTACATACCTGTTGTTGTAACCCCTACTTGAGTTTGATTGCCTAAATAAATAAACTGTGAGTTTTAGATTACACGCCACTTGTTTGTATTATTTTTTCTATCCTGACCATTGCTATTCACTGCCTGACATGCGGGTCTAAGTCGATCCCCATGGCAGACTAGTGAGGCGATCTTGGTCACCGTGATAATATACAGGGTAACTTATAACGTTGGATTATTAAAAGATTGATTTGACAGGGGTAGACGGTAATGTCAAGATGAAATTGTTTTTTACAATTTCTAATCAGTCACCCTAGTCCAGGATAGGATATTATTAATTATTATTTTTGATCAGACGGTACAAAACATCAATAAATCAGTTGCAACGTCAACTATTTTCCACGTATACAGTGAGAGAGACATTTCCTTTTTGGGGGAGACCGCCTCCGTGGTCTAGTGGTAGAGCGTCCGCCCGGAGGTCTGGGGTTCGATCCCCGGCCGCGTCATACGAACAAACGTTAAAAGATGGTACTTGTTGTTACCCTGTCTGGCGCTCGGTTGTTAAGAGGCTAAAACAAGGACTGGTCGGCTCGGAGTCAGTATACTGTTTCTTAGTGGGTTATTCATGTTAATCTGCGGCATGGTATCTCAGTGTGCTAGCGCTATAAATCGGCATCAGTCCGGACTAGAACAGACACACGCACGCACGCACGCACGCACGCACGCACGCACGCACGCACGCACGCACGCACACACGTGCAATAATCTTGGACGCGACGTTAAACCCCATTTCACCCCACCTCCCTTATGGAGGAATGTAGTAAACATACATACTATGACAGCAACTTTGGTGACAGATTTAAGTATTTGAATATTGTGAAGTTTTATAATAAATAGAACCACATACAATAATGATTGAATGTATGAAACGTGGAAGTTTGATCTAAACGCCTCCCTGTGAACACAAGGTCGGTAGACGCTCTTTCAGTCCGGCTTATGGGCGTTCAGGGATTTGATAAATCATTGCTTTAAGGAAAGCGTGGAAAGATCAAAAGTATCTCTCTTCGAATTTAAAAAGAATTCGCACAATTCATGTTGAATGAATGCCGATGAACAGGCAGGAAACAACACACAGTATATCAACATATATCATCACAGTGACGTTGAGGAGTCTTAACCATATCCTTCAGTGGCGATTACTTTTTCTGATTATTATGAGCATTGTACTGAAAATGCACAATAATTTAACTGCTATATATTTTGTATCATTGTGCCTTATGTCTGAAATACGTCGTACATAAAACCTGAAACATCTTGACGTGCTTCATTCAAATGATCCTTGAATAATCCTACAGTACTGTAACGGGTTGGGGGTGGGGGAACGTGGTTGTCAGGATGTTTTCTGTCCCATCCCAACCGTCAGTTTCAAAGAGATATTGTTAAAACGGATTTAAAAGAAAACTAACAAATAATAAAAGTCAATTGAAATCTTTACTAGTTGTTATACGTACAACAGACATAGTTTTTACACACGAGACGTGTATGTAATAATAAATAATCATATATTTAATGACTTCAAACGATCGCGGGAACGTGGGCGAAAACCGAAGGTCTTGATCGTTTTCGACCGAGCCTGACTATTACAATTACTTATCACTAGACCCACGCATGTCGTAAAAGGCGACTATGCTTGTCGTCAGAGGCGAATAACGGGATCGGGTGGTCAGGCTCGCTGACTTGGTTGATGCATGTCATCGTATCCCAATGACATGGGTCGATGCTAATGTTGTCAATCACTGGATTGTCAGGTCAAGACTCGATATACAGACCGCCGTCATCTAGCTGTAATATTGTTGAGTGCGGCATTAAACAACAAACTAACAAACTTATCCCTATTTGATCATAAACGATCGCTTACACGGGATGTGACGATACAACTCGCAGTTTTACCTCACTGTCAATGTTTCTCAAATCCGTCCTGCTAATATTTCTGATTTCATTACCAGTTTAATGTGCGAGGAAAACCCAAAGGGTGACCAATGGAAGTACTGGAAGACCGAGGGTCACACATTTGGGATTCGAACCAATGAACAGCGAGGCCTGGAGGCAAGGCGACTGGTGCATCTCTGTCCAACGACTTGCTGTGCCTTTGACCACTGACTGGCAGTGTCCCTACACCAAATAGCATTCGGATGATATTTTACTTTGTTAAACACGATGTCATAGTTCTTTCTAATTCTTCTATTACTAATGTCATTTATGGTACACGAGGGGGCACGAGTGGTCCATTCGTCGAAGGCACTAGAAACCTAGGATTGTTGGTTCGAATCCCGGTTCGACCCGATTATCTTTCTAGGTTTGTCAGCACCATACCAGCGCTCGTGGGTTTCACCGAAGTGGTAAACGTCCGAGACCTGCATCACTTCGGGCTTTCCTCCCACATTAAGCTGATATAACTGGAAGATTGTTAAAAGCGGCGTTAAACCCAACTCACTCACTGTGGTACATGAATGATAGATATTGTATTGAAACAGTATATATATTTTCATTCACAAGCTATTTCCTTTACTTCCAAAACCAACACCCTGTATATCGCCAAGCACTTGGAACTAGCAAAATTTCTTTATTAATATTTCAAATGTCTTATTCAAATTCAAGGCTTCAGTAAAGCTTTCATTGTGGAAAACAAGTGGGGGACAGTTCCTAATTTGACGCTTCAGTCACAAAATGATGTTCGATGAAATTTTGACATGTACCAGAAGGGACCGTGTTTTATCAGGTGAACGTTTGACTTGCCTTTGCGTGTGTTTGTGACGGGTACAACCGGTGGGGCAGGATACGACCACTTTATCGCGGACACCTATTTGATCGTGATTCATAAACACATGCTCATGACATAGCCAGAATCGTTCAATGGACTATCTATATGAAATGTATGACTGAAAGTAATTCCTTTCACATATGAATTCCAAATACTAACATACTGGTCTGAGCAAGGTAACCATTTTTTAGTTTATTCTAATATTCTAATTGTTATCATATACAATATGTAAATATTTTCAAATAAAATACATAGTCGTAATTTTAAAACAAAACACTGATCACAGAAAAGATGCCAAGTTAAATCGATTTCATTTTGGCAAAACCTATGGTTAAAGAACAATATTTTTATATCTCAAAGTACAAGTGCGTCCCAATCTGTTCACGAAACTTGCCGCTGACACAGCCACGTTAACGCATCGTGCTACCACAATGCTCATTTTACCGCTGACCCATTACGAAAACATTATGGAAGCCGAATAATTAGAAAGAATCTAACTCATCTGCTCTTAACAATACAATTACCCCTTCGTTTGTTGTGTTATCACTGGTATCCTGCTTTAAGTCCCACGAGAAACGGTCTTATGTCCGCCAAAATGCAATGATTTGCAGGGATTACTGCGTTTCACCAAAGAACGTCTGGGAGTCGTCACTGGAATGTTTACCTTCTTGCATGTTGCTGCCAAGAACATGTTGTCTTATCACAAACTCTCTCCCAGAAGAGGACTTAGATTTGTATCGTTGATCCTGCAAATAGTCTTGGGGAAAATGTGATCGATGAATAAATCAGATAATGGTGCCATCTCACCGTCAGCTCCGAGGTTTATGGGGATTTCTTCGTCGACGTTGTGTTTTAAGTGATTAATCAATGGTCATGATTTGAGTAATGGAAATACCGTTATTAGTAATAGTATCAGGTTATTTCCAGTGCATGCTTTAAGACTGACAACTGACAGATAAGTAGATCAATGGACTGGCTAACGCAATGATTGAAACAATAATTGACAGGCCGAATTACGAAATTGTCATCGAGTTGTCGATGTGACGTCACATGCAGTAATTGAAGTGGTTTCCGTCCATTGCGTTGCAGTCGACTTAATAAATAAATTGGGCATTTAAAAACATTAAAGGCTGAATTAGTTGTGTTGCAAACACCCTTCATTTCATAGTTAGAGAAGGGTCAGTTGTTATTGTTATGGCACTTGTACAAGTAACATCAATTGTGTGTATATTTAGGGTGTAGGAACAGAGCCTAAACATCTGAGTTTATCTTTCAGGTTTTGTTGATCATGCCGAGCGTGATGAAAGTTTGTTTGTTTGTTTGTTTAACGCCACACTTATCAATATGACAACTATATGACATTGGTCTGTAAATTTATCGAGTTTTGGCCTTAAAGTCCAGTGATTGCCATCATGAGCATTTAGGATATGGTGCCATTTATCAATCGAGTCAGCGAGCCTGACCATCCGATCCCATCAGTCGCCAGATGCTCATGGGTTGCTGAAGACCAATTCTTGCTCGGATTGCCACGTGATGTGATGAAGGAGCTATCCATGTTAAGTCATATATGAATGTATGTCATTAGCGACTCAAATCAAAAGGAGTCACTGTGTATGTTGGGTGGGTGGGTTCCAATCGCCTTGATTATATTCCTCTAATCACCCGTACTCGTCGCTTCCACCCAAGGGTAAGACAATGGCATGGTTGGGAAAGGGAGGGGTGCTCGGCTGTGACAAATTCAATTTTGGGGGAACCCACAACACATTATATTTCAACACATTCAACATGCCCAGTGAAATAGTCGGTCCCTTTAAGTTTGTGTTCTGTAAGACTTCAGGCTTCCTACCAAGCTGGGGGCAGCCTTGTGGTTAAAGCGTTCGCTCGTCACGCCGAAGATCCGGGTTCGATTCCCGACATTGGTACAATGGCCCATTTCTGGTGTCCCCCGCCATGATATTGCTGGAAGATTGCTAAAAGCGGCGTAAAATCATACTCACTCCTACCAAGCTGACATTGCGATCTAACTGAAATACTGTTCAAAGTGGCGCAAAACCTTACTCACTCACGTATTTACCGCGGATTGTTGCAGTCAGTCAATCACCGTGAGCTATTACCAAACAAACACTATCCAACAGGATTGATTGGTAAAGGGCTAGTAATTTTTGCAAGTAATTCAAATATAAGATTCGTAACATTCGCTGACACATCCAAAGATGAAGATGTACATATCAATAGCAGTTTTACCAGAGATGAAAACCGTACCAAAGTTAATT